CTCTGGGTGCCAGGCGAGAACACTGAGGTGTGGCCTTGGGGGACCCCAGAGGCCCGGACCTCGCCCGCCCTCCCCTCCGCCGCCGCGCCGGGCGGTGACTGTCGCCTGGCTTCTGGGAGCTGGGTCCTGGCTCCAGGACCAGCACCAGGGCGCAGGCTTTCTGGCAAGGAGGAGGGGATGGGGAAGAGCAGGCTGGGGCCTGGCACGGGGACAGGGTTTGTTTGTACCTCTTTGAAGCTGGGAGATGAAAGCCGGGGCCCACATGGCTGCCTTTGATTCTCTCCTCCCGGGCCCCACGCAGCTGCAGCCCGGCCAGCACCCAGCCCTTCGCTGCCCCAGGGGCCAGACGGGGCCCCGGGCCCCAGGCGGGCTGGAGGGGAGGCGGACCAAACGTCTCCCTTTCCACAGACCCGTCCAGCAGGGGCTGCAGAGCGGCCTGGCGCGGCGAGGGGCTCACCGTGTCACCCACTGGCGCCTGTCACCACCGTCATCATCATCTCTGAAGAGAGCGCCGGCTTTGAGGGCAGCACGTGCCCCTGAGACCCGGCCTGACCCCTGGCCTCGGCGGCCCCCGTCCCTGGGTCTCTCTGTCTTGGATTCCTGCTGCCTCCTGGGGTAGAACAGATGCTCTGGTTCGAGCTGGGGACAGGAGCAAAGTGGGTGCGAGCCAGGGCCCGTGAGCTCACAACAAACCAAAGGCTGGCAAGGCTCTTTCCAGTTGCTTCCTTCTGTCCCTAGCTCCCCGCAGAGGAGGAGGGGACAGAGGTCAGACACCCACCCATGGTCATACAGCAGATGCCCTGGCAGGATTGGAACCAGGGCCTGACCAAGCCCAAAGTCCGTGTTCTCCAATCACACTGCCAAGAACGTCGGCCTTCTTCCTCTGGGCTCTTCCACCGCAGCCTGAAGTTGTCCCCAGCCACAACTCTTTCCATGAGAGGAATGGCCTCCCAGGCAGACAGACAGACAGGGCAGGGCTTCATCCACTCTGAACTTTGTGCCACTCATTTCTGCACCAAGACAGGAATTCTCAACACAAAGGTGGCCAGCAGGCTGACTTCAGTCTCTTTCTCCTTCCTTCTTCCCTTCCTTCCTTCCTTCTTTCCTTCCTTCCTTCTTCCCTTCCTTCCTTCCTTCCTTCCTTCCTTCCTTCCTTCCTTCCTTCCTTCCTTCCTCCCTCCCTTCCTTCCTTCCTTCTTCCCTTCCTTCCTTCCTTCCTTCCTTCTTTCCTTCCTTCCTTCTTTCCTTCCTTCCTTCTTTCTTTCCTTTTTTTCTTTCTTTCTTTTGGAGGGTGGTCCTGGCACTTGATCTCAGGACCTCTGAGCTCTTCAGCTCAAAGCGAGCACTCTACCATTTGAGTCACAGCTCCATTTCCAGCTTTTTGGTGGTTAAGTGGAGATAAAAGTCTCACAGACTTTCCGGCCTGGTCTGGCTTCGAACCATGATCCTCAGATCTCAGCCTTCTGAGTAGCTAAGATGACAGGCATGAGCCACCATCATCCGTTAAACCCTTTTTTTATACTTTGAGCCGTGAGGGGTTGAAGTTATTGTGATTAGACCAGATAAATTTAACTAGCATCTCCAGCTCACAATTTCCCAGCTATTTCTGCTTAGGTCTAAGGGGGAAAGCAGAAAGGAAGTGACCCAGCAGGTGATGGGGGGGAGGGGCCAGGGGGCGCCCTGGGGGGCGGGAAGAGACACCTCATCCTGCAGACATGAACCACAAAGATCAGCGTCCATCTGCCCCAGGAAACATGGGAGTGCTAAGGACCTGGAGCCCCGGGGGGGGGGGGGGGGGTGCCTACTGAACTCCAAGCCCAGGGAAGCAGGGAGGCTGAGTCTGAGGAGCAAGGCCAGGGGGCAGCTCCCCATCCATCCACCAGGGGCCTGGAGACCACATTGCCGCCCCCATCCCCGGGTGCGGGTCCGCAGCTGGCTGATGTACAGCACACATGTTTTGACTGAAGCCGCCCGCCCCCCCCTCCCGAACAGGCCGACATTAAAGGGAACGTAGCTTTGTAAAACTGGAACTGTAAAACACTTCTGAAACCCAGCCTGAGGGATTAAAGAAACCACATGAAAAGGGGCGCGGGGCGACCTGGATGCTGACTTCCCGTTCAGAAGTTCCCTCCACATATGCCTCCCACCCGGGCTGGTGGCATGGAGGGAGGAGGAGGAGGAGGAGGAGGAGGAAGGCCAAGGCTAGGGAGGGCCTCGACATGCTCCTGGAAATCCGGACTTTGGCTAAAGTGCCTGGTCTGGTGACCTAAGGCGTGGCCAGCCCCTGCCTCTGACCTCGGGACATGCTGAGAACCCTGGACATTGGCCTTGGCTTTGACATCCGCTCAGTTAAAAGACCACAGCGGCCCAAGCTGTCATCCTAGCTACTCAGGAGGCTGAGATCTGAGGATGGCGATTTGAAGCCAGCCTGAGCAGGAAAGTGCGTGAGACTCTTCATCTTCAATTAAGCACTAGAAAATCCAGAGCCAGAGCAGTGGCTCAAGTGGTAGAGCACTAAGCCTTGAGCAAAAGAGCTCAGGGACAGCACCTAGGCCCTGAGTTCAAGCCCCAGGTCTGGTGTACACACACATACTCATGTGCGCACGCGCACACGACCACAGCTGTCCAACATCTGGCTTCTGCCATTCCCAACACGGTCCTCGCTTTCTGGGACACCTGGCAGCACAGGATGACCTTAGAGACCCAGCTCAGCTTCTTCCCCTTCTGGCCACAGAGCCAACTGGGTTCAAATCCCCTGTCTGATACTTTTTAGCGGTTGGAGCCACCCAAGGACCCTAAAACCTTCACCCCTAGGGCTGTCTTGGAGGAAGGCACTAGCAAAATGCCTGGCATGTGGTGACGGCTGAAAGGAGGGTGGCTACCCACTGCCACTGCCCGTGACACCCTGTGGGCTGGGCAAAGGTGCAGGTGCCCTGTGCTGGAAGGCAGAGGAAAGAGAGGCTGGCATCTTCTGCCTTCACTGGACTAGAGTGAGCTTCCTCCCAGGGCTCCCGGCTCGCTAGCTATGTCCAGTCTGGAAGGAGAGCTTTAAAATGTAATCAAAGCCAGGTGAACTGTCATCCTCGCTACTCAGGAGGCTGAGATCTGAGGGTCACGGGTTTGAAGCCAGCCTGGGCAGGAAAGGCCATGAGACCCTTATCTCCAATTAATCACCAGGAAACCGGAAGTGGAGCTGTGGCTCAAAGTGGTAGAGTGCCAGCCTTGAGCACAAAAGCTCAGGGACAGTGCGCAGACCCTGAGTTCAAGACCCATGACTAACAAAACATAAAAAATATAAAAAGTAATCAAATGTCTAGAGAAGGCCTGGATGCAAGCCTCAAGCGGCAGAGTACAAACTCCCAGGAAAGCACAAAAAAGGAAATACAATTGACAGTGGTAGAGTGCCTGCCTTGCACGCAGAAGGCCCCAAGTTCAAATCCAAGTACCACAAATAAAATAAAACGACTCAATACAAGCCAGGCACTTGTGGCTCACGCTTATAATCCTAGCTACTCAGGAGGCTAAGATCCAAGGATTGAAACACTTTGAAGGCAGCCCAGGTAGAAATATCCAAGAGACTCTTACCTCCAATTAACCAGCCAAAAGCTAGAAGTGGAGGTATAGCTCAAGTGGTAAAGCATCAGCCCTGAACAATAAAAACCAAGTGAGAGCACAAGGTCCTGAGTTCAAGCCCTAGTACTGGCACACACACACACACACACACATACACACACACACACACACACACACACACACACACACACACAACTAAGCTGAGCACTGGTGGCTCATGCCTGTAATCCTAGCTACTCAAGAGGTGATCTAAGGATTGCAATTCAAAGCCAGTCTGGGTAGGAAAGTCCACGAGACTCTTATCTCCAATAAATCACCAGAAAACCAGAAGTGGAGCCGTGACTCAGAGCGGTAGAGTGCTTGCCTTGAGTGAAAAAGCTCAGAGACAGTGCCCAGGCCCTGAGTTCGAGCCCCACTACCAACCAAAACAAACCAAAACAACAGAAAAAGAAAACACTGAAAAGCAAGAGATGATGAACTGGGCCAGAAGAAATTCAGATAGTCTAGTCTGGGACCTGGGGAACACAAAGGAGATGAGGTTGATGTCTTTTTCCCACAGCTAGAGGACCTAGGCAGAGCCCTGAAAGGCCTCCTGTATTTGAGGCTGGTAGGGGCCGGCCGCTTGACCAGAGCTGTGGACAAGAGAAGCCTCGTGTGTGGACAGATCCTTCCTGTGCATACCCCTGGGACACGCTGAACCCCCCCCCCCACCCCACACATACCCCCCTGCCACCCCCCCACCTTCCTGAAAACCCTCCCTCCATTCTATAAACTCTTCATGCCCTCCAGTGTCCCCCGCAATCACTTACCTAATATTAGGATATTAAAAAATATGGCAAGATTTTAAGAGACTTATTAAAATGCAATTAGCAACGTGTACGACTTAAGCAGGGAGATTATTTTTAAAAATGACTTGATTGTACAGAATACCACGCACCTCTTCCTGACGCCGTAAACCTGCCAATCATGCACGTCCTCCAATGAGGGGGTTTTCCTTGCTTGCTCTTTGTCCTTCAGGATTCTCTCCTCCCCTCCTCCCTGTGACCAGGAATGTGCACAGATGCACCAGGAGAACCCCCCCCCCCCCCACCCTGTGAAGGACCCTTCCCTCAGAACGAAGCCATCAGACACACAGCAAAGCCTGGGAAGTCTTGAGAACTGGCCATAGAGTGGGCAAGGGATGAAGAAGTCCCCCCCCAGCCTCCACCATCATTATGGCTTTGATGCCCCCAGAGACAGGATGGCAAGCTATCTACCCCCTGGTGAAGGGTTTGGGTGGGAAGAGCCAAAGGGTAAAGGAAGGGGTCCTAGGGAAGGAAGGCGACTGCTGACCTCTTCTAAGGGCCACACTTCAGAGAACCCCCCTCACCCCCCAGCTCAAAGCAGCCCTCCCCAACAGTGCCCACTGGTCAGGCTGGAACGGTGTCTTATGCTGCCCCCTGCTGCCCATGGTCGGCACTGCAGCTCTGCGCCTCGGGGGAAGGCAATGTGTGGAGTCCAGGTGTGAATCTTCCTCCAGCTGGGTGGTCCTCGGGGGCCATCTTCCGCCACTCATCTGCAGAGAGACAAACGCGTGGAAATGTGAGGACTGCTGTCCAGCCGGCCATCGCCTTCCATCCTGCCCTGCCCTGGCCCTGGCTGACCGGACTGAAGTTTATCAAATGTGCTGGTTCCTTTCTTGAAGGCCCATCTCCCTGACAGCTGACTCCCCAGAGTGCTCACTCAGCTGCCAGGCGAGATTTGTGTTTCCTGGATGCGTCTTTGTCCGACCACAACTGGAAATTGGGGAGAGAGCTGGAGGACAGAGAGACTTCCTGCCTAGAAGGAGCCCTGGAAACATGCAGTGCCCCCCCAGACCCCCCTTTCCTGGGGAGGACGGCAGGCTTCCCACCCAGGAGCAGCCTCCAGCGAGGCCTTAAGCCTCCATGTTCTTATCTGTAAAATAGGGAGAATATGAGGCTGGGAAGGTGGCTCAGTGGTAGAGTGCTCGCCTTGAACTGAAGAGTTGAGAGATAGCACCCAGGCCCAGAGTTCAAGCCCCACAACCAACAAAACAAAAACAAATAGGGAGAATGTTTTCTCTCTCCTCAAAGGAATGTGTAGAGTACCATGCGCAGGTGGACACGTCTGGTCTTTGGAAATTGGGCGAATGTCAGATATTTGCCTTATGCAGAGTCAGGGGAATTCTCTGACTTGGGGTGTGCAGGCTGCTAGAACTCACCCTGTGTTCCCTGACATTTCAGTTGAGGGGGGGGATGAAATTTTGCTTTTTTTCTGTGTGTGTAATACTGCAGTTTTAAACCCAGAGCTTTTAGGCTTATTAGACAAGAGCCCTACCAGTTGAACCATGCCCCCAGCCCAGTTTTTTGCTTCAGTTATTTTTCAATTAGGCTCTTACTTTTTTTTTTCCTAGCCCGGACTGAACCATGATCCTCCTGTTTACACTTCCCTGGTAGCCAGGATAACAGGTATGTGTCACCAGTCCTGGCTGGTTAGTTGAGATGGGGATTTTACTTCTCTTCCATCATCAGCTGGTTTCAAAATGCGATCCTCTCAATCTGCAGTGCCCATCTCCCAAGCCTCTCAAGGAGCTGGGCTTAAGTACTTTACCATTGAGCTGGGTCTCCGGCTGAAGAATTTGTGTCTCTAACAAGTTCTTAGGAGGTACTGACAGAGCTGGTCCAGCTGTAAGAACTGCTCTTCTGAGTGTAGATCTGGGAAATGGACAGCTCAGCCTGGCCCCTGGGGGAAGAAAGAACAAGAGATGAGAGGTCACCTCGGAACAAGTTGGGGTGAGCTGAGGCTGGCTACGTGAAAACAAGCTTTTGGACTGGGCTCTGGTGGATCACACCTATCACTCTAACTGCTCGGGAGGCTGAGATCTGAGGATCACAGTTCAAAGCTAGTCTGGGCAAGAAAGTCCATGAGAGTCTTCGTTGTTGCTGTTGTTGTCAGTCAGTCTGAGGCTTGAACTCAGGGCATGGCGCTGTCCCTGAGCTCTTTTGCTCAAGGTTGGTGCTCTACCACTTTGAATCGCAGCACCACTTCCAGTTTTCTGGGGATAAGTCACATGGATTTTCCTGCTTGGGCTGGCTTTGAACCATGATCCTTAGATCTCAGCCTCCTGAGTGGCTAGGATTACAGGCGTGAGCCACCAGCACCTGGCCCCAGAGACTTACAATTAACCACCAAAACAAACAAACAAAAAAACAAACAAAAAGGTGGAGTTGTGGCTCAAAGAGGTAGAGCGCTAGCCTTGAGGGAAAGAGCTCAGGAACAGTGCCCTGGTCCTGACTTCAAGCCCCACAACTGAAAAAAAAAAAAAAAAAGAAAGGAAACTTTTGTCCATTTCGGCCCATTTTCTCCTCTGTCCTGATTTAGTCTGCCCCCTCTGCCTGCCCCCAGCCTCCCCCGCAACTCCGCGACTACTGAGCTATGAGGCATGGGGAAGCAGCCAGGACTGGGCTGAGCTGGGGGCCAGGAACCCTGAGCTGATTCCCTCCAGGCCGTTGGTCACGGCAGGGCAGATCGGCTCTCCTGATGCCCAGAAGAAAACTGCTCTCCCCACGCCGCCTCTCTGGTTACACAGTAATTTGGAGAATTACTGAGCGGATAACTACAATTCTAGTTTAAGTAAGCTTCAAATACCCAACAGAGACTTTTGCAAAGAGTGTGGTGATGTAAAAGTGTGTGTATTGGGATGCATCTAAAATCTGGGGATTCGCAATCCTCAAGAAGGAAAAGCAATGAGCTTTGATGCGGCCAGGAAGGCTACGGGCGGTGCTGAAGGTGGGCAGCCAGAAGTGCTCAGAGCTGGCTCCGCAGGAGGGCAGAGACCAGCGAAGCCTGAGTTCTGGGATAGCTTGAACTGTCTGTAACTTGGCCCAATGTGTCACCACAGCATACCATGTCCATCCTAAGCAAATGACCGCAAGGAAAACCATGTCTCCAGGCAGAGATGGGATCTGTATGTACATGGGCCTGTGTGCAGGGCTCTGGGATGAGGGACAGGTACCTCCCAGGCCCTGGCACATCCAAAGCCAGGGTCACAGACAGAGGGAGAAGAGAAGTCCCCACCCCACCCCCTAGGACTCCATGAATGCCAGTCCTCTAGCTACTCAGGAGGCTGAGATCTGAGGATCAGGCTTTGAAGCCAGCCCAGACAGATAAACCTGAGAGATTCTTATCTCCAATTCATCAGCAAAAAGCCACAAGTAGAGCTGTGGCTCAAGTGGTAGAGGGCCAGCCTTGAGAGAAAAAATTAAGTGAGAGCGCAGGCCCTGAGTTAAGCCCCAGTACTGGCAGACAAACAAACAACCTTCCTGCTTGGGGAATGAAGCTCAGTGGTAGACTGCTTGCCTTGCATGCATGAGGCCCTGGGTTCGATTCCTCAGCACCACAGAAACAGAAAAAGCCAGAAGTGTCCCTGTGGCTCAAGTGATAGAAAACAAGCCTTGAGCAAAAGACACTCAGAGACACTGCTCAGGCTGAGTTCAGGAAACAAAACAAACAAAACAAATGTTCCTAAGCCAGGCACTGGTGGCTCTCGCCTGTCATCCTAGCTACTCAGGAGGCTAAGATCTGAGGACTGTGGTTCAAAGCCCGCCCAGGCAGAAGAGTCTGTGAGACTCTTATCTTCAATAAACCACCAGAAAACCAGAAGTGGCACTGTGGCTCAAGTGGTAGAGAGCTAGCCTTGAGCTGAAGAGCTGAGGGACAGCATCTAGGCCCAGAGTTCAAGCCCCATGACTGAAAAAAACCCAAAAAACATAAAACACGTTTCCTGTTGGACTGAGGTCAGAATAAACCCTGGGCTCCTGGGGGTGGGGGGGCTCCCCACGGGCTCACCACCCCCACACGACCCACACCAACGGGCTGCTTTCTCATCCTCCAAACCACCTCGGGATTCTAGTACTTTCTGCTGCTTTGCTCTGATCCCCTTGTTCAGCTATTTTGTTTGGTTTTATAGCAGCATCTTGCTAGGTAGCTCAGGCTGGTCTTGAACTCACGAGTCTCCTACCTCAGCCTCTCGGGTGCTGGAATTGCAGGCATGGACTACTCAACTCTCCTAATCTTCAGATCACTTCCTTCCCTCCTCTTCGAGGGACCCTGACCTTCTCGCCCAAAGCAGCTGCGATTGTCCACATGCAAGTATGACAGGTCTCCAACCCTCTGTACTATGTACATGCATGCGCGTGCGCGCGCGCACACACACACACACACGCCAATGCTCCCTGCCAGTGCTTGGCAGAGTTGTCAAATGTCAGCGTCTCAGACACATGCTGTGGAAGACAAGAGAATCATGGACCCCCACCATGTCCGGAAGTCTTCCTACGCTGGCGTCCTGGACTTCCGTGATCTGAAAACCAACCCTGCCAGGGGAGGCAGAGGCCTGGGCCTCTTGGCACAGACGGGCACTGCCAGCCCTGGGCAGCAGCTGCCCGTGGAGGCGGAGGGGGGGGAGGACTGGCCTTGGAGTCACGGCTCAGACTCAAGAAGGGAAATCACCGGAGCTTTTAAAAAATTAAATGGAGTCAGTAATTTGATTTCAGAGAGAAGCTGAAAAACCTCGTAATGGCAGGAGCCGCTCAATGCCCTGGCCGGTGGTGAAAAGGAAAAGCCTTAAATGGGGCTATTAAGCTCCTGCCTGGGACGGAGCTGCCCGGGAGGGGGTGGGGGGGTGTGCATTGTGCGGGGGGCGGGGGGGGGGGGGAGCCATCTTCTGGGAGGGACCGTTTATCAGCCAGGACAACTCTGATTATTTATTTATTTATTTAGCTCACGTCCTGGATGGGGGAGGGCGTTCCCCCCCCCCCCCCAGCATTGCCAACAACCATGTCAGCCTGTACTCTACTCCTTGGCTCCATGTCAACCCTCACTTCCAGCTTGGGGGGGGGGGGCGGGAGGGCTGGGTGGGCCATGCCGCCCTCCTAGGGAAGCAGGCCTGGCCAGGGCACCCAGTCACACACGGCTGCTGCTGGAGCGCTGGGCGCACTGGGTCATCCAAGGTCATCCAAGGTCATCGTCAGAGGTCACGGGCTGTCCAAGCTAGCAGGGGATCAGCTGCTGCCACGGAGACCCGAGGAGGCATCCGTTAGGAGACAGCAAACCCCTGATGCTCCTCCTCCCCCTGCCCCTGGGGTCCCCCTAGGAACCCCTGGTCCCTTGAGACCCCCCCCGCATGGGGGAGGGCTGCCCTTGGCCTAGGAGCAGCACAGGGTGTCCACTCTGACTCACCGGAGCCGAGGCGGTGCTCGCGGCTCTGGGCTGGCTGTGAGCAGGGCGCATGCGCTTTGCTCTGTCCCTCCACTCGGAACTCAACAGCCCCACCCAGAAGAAATTAGTTTTTTTGTTTTTTGGGTTTTTTTTTTGCCAGTCCTGGGGCTTGAACTCAGGGCCTGGCTGCTGTCCTGGGCTTCTTTGCTCCACTTTGAGCCACAGCTGTACCCACTTCTGGTTTTCTGGTGGTGGATTGTAGGGAAGACTCTCAAGGACTTCCCTGGGCTGGCTTTGAACCATGATCCTCAGATCACAGCCTCCTGAATAGCTAGGATTATAGGCGGGAGCCACCAGCTCCTGGCCTGATGCTTTTGCTCATTGGCTGGTGCTCTACCACCTAAGCCACGCCTCCAGCCCCATCAAACCCCTTTGGACAGTGAGACTAAGTCCAGAAACACAGCTGGGTCAGCCCTGGAAACGCCCAGCACCGCTTCCCGCCGGCAGGCCAAGTCCCCAGGCACCACCGGTCACTCTTCAGACTCACCCCAGGAGCCTCCAGGGAGGCTGAGCACCGGGGCCTCTGCGGGGACTCCTCTTCCATGTGTCACAGCCCAGGAGGCCTGAGACTCTCAGGACCCACAGCTGGCCTGTGCTCCGCTGGCTCCTGCGGTGGCGGTGAGCCCTCCTGACCAGCAGAGGAAGGGTTTCCAGGATCAGTCAGGCGGGGCAATACCGTTTGTGTAGGAGCCCACAGACTGGAGATGGGCCAAGGTGAGGGGCTGGCTGTGTGTGCAGCTCCCTGCTTCCACCAGACCCCTGAGGCTGACTGTACTTTCGAGGCTCTGTCTAATTCTCCTACGGATGGGACTGGAGGCTTCTCAGAAGTGGAGGCCACAGGGCTTTCTGGGAACGCTATCCGGGGGGCTGCTGGCCGCCCAGGGGGCTCTGACACCTCCAGGTGGCCACGGGTGCCTGCCTGGCCCCCTCCTGTGGTGGGAATTCTCTCCTGCCTTGGGTGTGGGGGTAACTGGCCCAGGGGCCCCCAAGTCCTGTCCTGGGGGGGGGCCATGCTCCATCTTGGGTGACCCCTCAGACTCAGTGACGAAGGTTGTTTCCTGGGGGGAAACTGAGGCCTCTTTAGCCAGGCCAATCCACAGGGGCCACCTTGATGGCTGGACGTCCCCACTAGCCTGGTCTGGCACGCCCTGGCTGGGCTGGGCTGTAGATAGTGCTCCCAGGCTTCCTGGTAGCTGGGCAGGGTCCTGCTCCAGCCTCCTTATTCCAGAACCTTCCATGAAGGTAACAGATGGGAACACTTTGGATCTGTCCAACCCCCGGGGGAGCTGTGGAGAAGAGGCTTCTGAGGGTAAATGTGCGGTCAGGGCAGTGGGATCCTGGGAGACTGGATGTAAGGGCTTAGCCCGGGCAGCTGCTGTGGGCTCTGAGGAGAGTGTGGCTGGAGGCCAGGGAGACTGATTCCCCAGGAGTCCTGACTCCCCCAGGGGAGCCCGGGGACCACGCTCATCTTGGGTTGTTCTGGAAAGACCAGCTGCGGTGGAGGCGCCGCTTCCTCCTGGAGGTCCGGCTGCTGGCAGGGATGATGGGGGCCCCTGTAAGACCAATGGGAGAGAAACAGCTTCAAAGCGAGATGCCCGTGGCCCCGACACCCTGCCGATCTCAGGAGGGCCCCGGGGCACCCCATCTCAGGCTGGGGTTCTAACCCCAGGGGGAAGCATGCCTCTCCCCATTTGTGAGCACAGAGTCTGGCAGGGCAGGACGTGTGACCCAGATTTCCCAGGGAAATTTCCAGATTTGTGAGGGGGAAACATGGCGGCGGGGGGGGGGGGCAGGCAGCTGGGGTCGGGGGAGGCGGGGATTCTCCTTGAAGAACAGAGGCGGTGGAGGGAGGACGGGCTGGAACGCAGCCCTGGACTTGCCCGGGTCAGCCCTGTGGGCTGGCGCTGGGCGGTGGCAGCTGACGACGTTCCTTCCGGAAGGGTCTCCAGCCTCGGGGGTGCGGTGCGTGCAATAATCCTGGGTGTGGCTCTTGAGGCAGGCAACTCTGCTCCAGAACCTTCCAGAAAGGAGGCAGAGGTCAGCTTCCTCCCAAGGAACCAAAAATCCCTGCCTCCTGCTGCTCCTTTTTCCTCAGGTGGATGAAGGATGTCTGGAGGTCAAGTTCAAGCACAGGTCAGTGTGTGTGTGTGTGTGTGTGTGTGTGTGTGTGTGTGTGTGTTGGTTTTGGGGGTCAACGCACTGTCCCTTAGCTTTTTTTGCCCAGTGTTGGTACTCTACCACTTGAGCCACAGCCCCCCCCCCTTTCTGGCTTTTTGCTGGTTCCTTGGAGATAAGAATCTCCCGGACTTTGCTGCCTGGGCTGGCTTTGAACCTCAGTCTCAGATCTCAGCCTCCTGAGTAGCTAGGATGACAGGCTAAATCTCAGATTTAGAAAGCTTAGATTTCTTCAGAGACCACCCAGCCCTGAAACCTTGCATCTACGTGCACATCACCAGCCACCAGCCTTTTCCTACAGTTTCGGGACTCACCCGAGTCCGAGTGGGGCTCGGCTCCCTGGTGGGTGGGGCTCAGGTGAGGCTCAGCCCAGGCACCACTGACTTCCGGGGCCAGCTTGCTCTTTGTGGAGTGTGGGATTGAAGTCCTGTGCATGGCACGGTCTCCCACCGTGACCTGGTCTCCACCCTCCACCCTTGTGCATTGCAACCCACAAAATCTCCCCAGAGCTGGGCGTCCGTGGCTCACGCCTGTCATCCTAGCTACTCAGGAGGCTGAGATCTGAGGATTGAGGTTCAAAGCCAGCCCAGGCTTGAAAATCCGTGAGATTCTTATCTCCAATAAACCACCAGAAAACCGGAAGTGGCGCTGTGGCTTAAGCAGTAGAGCGCTCACCTTGAGCTGAAGAACTGAGGGACAGTGCCCAGGCCCAGAGTTCAAGCCCCACGACTGACAAAAAAAGAAAAAAAAAACTCCCCAGAGAGGCCCAGTATCCCCTGGGAAGGCAAGCACCACCCCTGATGGGAGAACCTGGTGTTAGAACTTGCAAATCCTAGCCCATGCAATAACTTAACTCTTAAACATCCTGGGATGCTGGGAGCCAATGGCTCATGCCTGTAATCCTAGCTCCTCTGGAGGCTGAAATCTGAGGATTAAGGTTTGAGGTCAGCCAGGACAGACAAATCTATGATACTTTTTTTTAAATCTGAAATACTTTTATCTCCAATTAACAACCCAAACAAAGGGGCTGGGAAGTTAGCTCAGTGGTAGAGTGCCTGCCTTGCATGCATGAGGCCCGGGGTTCGATTCATAAGCACCACAAAAGCCACGAGTGGCGCTGTGGCTCAAGTGATAGAGCGCAAGCCTTGAGCTGAAGAGCTGAGGGACAGTGCCCAGGCCCAGAGTTCAAGCCCCACAACTGACCAAAAACAAAAAACCCAGAAGTGGATGCTGAGACTCCAGTGGTAGAGCACTAGCCTTGAGCATGCCTCCACCCTGAGTTCAAGCCAAAAAATAGTAATAGTAACTAAACCAAACACTTTCTTCTCCAAGTTTCTCTTCTCCACACTAAACATTTTGATTCTCAACCCTTGGCTGGGCCGGGCCCTGGCGGCTCACACCTGTAAACTCTGCTACATAGGAGGCTGAGATCTGAGGACTATGGTTGGAAGCCAGCCTGGGCAGGAAAGCCTGTGAGACTCTGATTCCAATCCAGTATTCAGAAAAGGCTGGGAGTGGCCCTGTGGCTCAAGTGGTAGAACACTGGCCTTGAACATGCTTCTGCCTGAGTTCAAGCCCCAGGTCCCTTTGCTTCTGAGTGGGTGTCCGTTCGCATTGGGACTCACTAGTCATATATTCACAAAAAGAAAAAAAAATGTCCTTTGTCTAAAACATTTTGCAAAAAAGAAATTCCTGGTGGAAACTCAGTCCCACAAGCACTGACTAAATGAATGCTACAGAGGACAAGGCCGAAGGGAGTCACTACGAGGCACAGACCCCAGCGGGTAGGTGCTCGGGCTAGAGGCCGAGACACAGGCCAGCACCAGCAAGTATAATGAGAGCAGAAAGATCTGGAATCTCCAGGGGGAAGCACAGGGAGAGCGCTCTGGGGACCAGGCCGGGGAGAGATTCATTCCGGCTGCTGATATTACATTAATAAAAAGAGAAAGAGAACATTCTTTCCCTGTATAAATCTTTCCACAGAGGCCTCTCCCCTCTCCCCCGCAAAAAAAATTCTTCCTAAAATGTTTTTATTGCTATTACTATTTTTGTAGTTTATTCATTATCACCTCATGAGGAATCTATGTTCCCTTCAGAACACAGGACACAAAGCATTTTATAGGTGACATGACCCAACTCTGTGTGTGTGTGTGTGTGTGTGTGTGTGTGTGTGTGTGTGTGTGTGTGTGTGTGACACACATGCATGAACACCAGCACTTGGACTGAGGGCTTCACGCGCTCACTTGATTTTTTCACTCTACCCCTCTACTTCTGGCTTTTCCCTGATTAATTGGAGATCAGAGTCTCACAGACTTATTTGCCCAGGATAGCTTTAATCTCATCTTCCTGAATAGCGGGGATTACAGGTGAGAGCCCCAGGCCCCGCTGGGCTTTTCTTTCTTTCTTTTTCTTTCTTTTTTTTTCTTTCTTTCTTTTTTTTGATCTCTCTTTCCTGACTGGACACCGTTGGAGGGCCAGGCCCCAACTTTGATGGCTTCTGCTTCCACCCAAGTATTTAATGAATAAAGTACTTAGTTGGCTGAACTCCTACCCCTCCTTCTACAATCAGTGTCACCATGGCAGGAAACTGTAAAAAGAAAAGCAGCCAAGATGTGTAAAAATCGTTCAAGAAATAATTTCATTTTTAGGATACTATTAGAACTGATCCATTCCCCCCCCTTCATCCCGCCTTTTTATTTTTCCTTTGTTTCTAATTCTGAATTTGAGGCTAGATGTGGTAGGCAGCCCCCCCCTTTTAATCTTTAAATATAGTTCTGAATATAATTACATTTTTATGCAGCAGCAAAACATCATATCCTGGTAACAGGGCATTCTTTCGCTATTAACATCTGAGTTAAATCTCCTTTCCGTCTGTCTTCTATTGAAGACAGTCACCAAGCATGAGATGAAAGTGATCGACATCGTTTGTGAATTATGTGCATTTCCTTGTGCTGTATTTGAATGGGTTTTGCTCCTGGTGGTTTTTTGCATGTGTGAATTCCAGGTTGTCTGGTAGCAGAGCTTTCACCAAAACCAAAAAAAAAAAAAAATCAACCCTTTCAAGATGAGGTCCTGGTGTGGAGCACACGCACCCCCCCAACCCCCTCCCACCCCGCCCCGTTCCCAGGGAGGTCCCCTGGGGCTGAGCTCTGCTCCATCCCACTGGGCTCCCTGCCAAGGAGTCTGATGTATTAAGTGACCCCCAGGAAATGGAGCCCACACAGAGACAGCCGAACAGATCATAAAGGAAATGGCATGTCCCAGGCCAGGCCTCCAGGCCTAAGACACCAATTCCATCTTCTTGGCCTATCCCCACCCCCACCCCCACCCCCACCCCCCGCCCATGGGGCTCTCATTTGCCAGATGAACAAACCGAGGCCGAGCCATGGGAAGGAGCCCCTACCTCACCCCACCCCACCCCTGGCCCCATCCCAGCAGCACTGACTCCAGACCCAGGGACCTAGTTTACCACTTAGTCCCCAATTCCAGCTGGCAAACCCAAGAAAGAAAACCTCAGGTTAGGGCCGGGCCCTGGTGGCTCACTCCTGTCACCCTAGCCACTCAGGAGGCGGAGATCTGAGGATCAAATGTCAAAGCCAGCCAAGGCAAGAAAGTTGTGAGGGTCTTGTCTCCAGTTAACCACGGAAAAAACTGGAAGTTGGAGCTGGGGCTCAAGTGGGAGAGCGCTAGCCTTGAGCAAAAATGCCAAGTGAGAATGTGAGGCCCTGAATTCAAGCCTAGTACTCACACAAAAAACGGAAGGAAGGAAGGAAGGGAGGGAGGGAGGGAGGGAAGGAGAGAGGGAGGGAGGGAGGGAGGGAGGGAGGGAGGGAGGAAGCGAGCTCAGGTCAGGGAAAGAAGGTTCATAAACCAGCACATACTCCCAAGACAACTCCCTTACCCATGCATTGGAAGAAGTTCTCCACCGTCCAAAGCACCGGGGTGAGGGACTCTGCGAACCCCAGGCTCAGGTCCACCCTGTAGGAAGCTTGCACCCCTGGAGCTCCCTGGGACTCCTGGCAAGGCTGTGGGCCAGGAGGAATTAGGATCAGGTGACAAGTCCCCCACCCCCACCCCTGAAGGCCACCTGGTCACCGCACTGGGCTCAGGGAGGGAGACCCGTGGCCAAGTCCCGTGTCAGCTCTCCTCTCCCGATGGTGTGCTGGGCCCAAAGACGGGGCCTAGAAGGACAGGACAGCCACGCCCGCCAGGACACTGACCTGAGCCCGGAGCAGCGCGGCAGCCGGGAGGCTGACCACCAGGAAGTCCTTGCTCTCAATCACAGCCACGGGGTCTGACTGGTGCACCCGGAGGAAGCTCAGGCTCAGGCCCCTTTCTACCAGGGGCCCCCTTCTAATCAGCCCCAGCCTCCGCTTGGGAATGTGGACAAAGATCTCTGAATCTGGCTGGGGTGACACTGGGCCAGAGAGGACACCAGCCAAGGAAAAACAATGACATGAATGGCAAAAAATAAGACACGTTAATGCCCACAGCTCACTCCTGCAACCCCAGCTTCTCAGGAGACTGAGATCTGAGGAGCATGGTTCCTGAGACCTGAGGATTTGCCAGCCCAGGCAGACAAATCGGCGAGACTTTTATCTCCCACTAAGTAGAGATAGGGCTCAAGTGGTAGAGCACTAGCCTCGAGTGAAAAAGCCAAAGAATGAGAAACCCAGAGTTTAAGCCCCAGTACTGGCAAGGAAAAAAAAATTCCTATCAGTTGTTTACACTATAGCAAGAATTGTGTTGTGTCAGCCACCGCACAGTTTTAAAGCCAGCTTTGCAGTTGTTCAATGAAAGCATTTGTCTCCAAATAAAGGGATTGCGGATCTCATCATCAGGGTAGGAGAGGCCTGGTAAGGCTGCCCCTGATGCCCAAAACTCCCCAGAGCCCTGATTCAGAGACTTCATCCCTGATAAAATTCTATACAAATATACAAGAGCTAGGGCTGGGAGCCAGGCACCGATGGCTCACGCCTGTAATCCTAGCTACTGAGGAGGCTGAGATCTGAGGATCACAGTTCAAAGCCAGTGCGGGCATGCAGGTCCGTGAGACTCTTATCTCCAAAAACCACTAGAAAACCAGAAGTGGCGCTGTGGCTCAAGTGGTAGAGTGCTTGCCTGGAGCTGAAGAGCTGAGGAACAGCGCCCAGGCCCAGAGTTCAAGCCCCATGACGGACAAAAAAAAGAGTTAGGGCTGGGAAGGTGGCTCAGTGGTAGAGTGCTTGCCTTGCAAGCATCAGGCCCTGGGTTCAATTCCTCAGCACCACATAAGCAGAAAAACCTGGAAGTAGCGCTGTGGCTCACATGGTAGAGTGCTTGCCTTGAGCTGAAGAGCTGAGGGACAGCGCCCAGGCCCAGAGTTCAGGCCCCACAACCGACAAAAAAAAAAAAAAAATTAGCCATCTCTGCCCACACAGGATGAAGTCCACCTAACCTTGCACACCATATTCTTTAGCACGGAAATCCCTGGCAGTAGGAAATGGCTTCCTGCCTTCCTGGCTTCTACATAAAGCGCATGGAAATGGAGTTGTACAGTCCCTTGTCCTAAACAAGGCCTGTATCAGAACCTCAGGGCTACAAGAGCCCAGCCCCGGGGTCTGGTGCAGACTTCAGACCCGTCTTATTTTTATTCTCAGGGTCTCCAGAGTCCATTTGAGACCCCAACATTTAGAAAGTCACAGACCCCAGGTTTGTAGTCTTCTAGCTCTGTGTGTGTGTGTGTGTGTGTGTGTGTGTGTGTGTGTGTGTGTGTGTGTTTCTGTCTTTTTTTTTTTTTTGGTTGTTCGTGGGGCTTGAACTCTGGGCCTGGGCACTGTCCCTCAGCTCTTCAGCTCAAGGCGAGCGCTCTACCATTTTGAGCCACAGCGCCACTTCCAGTTTTCTGGTGGTTTATTGGAGATAAGAGTCTCATGGGCTTTCTTGCCTGGGCTGACTTTGAACCATGATCCTCAGACCTCAGCCTCTTGAGTGGCTAGGATTACAGGTGTGAGCCACCAACGCCCCACTTGTCTGTCTTTCTGTACTGGGACTTGAACTCAAGACCTGGGCACTGTCCTAGAGCTTATTGTTAGTCAAGGCTGCCCCCTGCCACTTGAGCTCCACGTCCAGCTTTCTGCTGGCTCACAGGAGATCAGAGTCTCACAGACTTTTCTGCCCCAGCTGGCTTTGAGCCATGATCCTGAGATCTCAGCCTCCTGAGAAGCTAAGCTTACAGGCGTGAGCCACCGGTTCCTGGCATCTTCTTATACCAATGGCCTTCCCCATGCTACCCAGACTCTGCACACAACAGAGCCTTCTATTTGTTCCAAGCATCACCAAAGTTCTCTGCCAAGACCAGGGTGTCATGAGACTGAGAGAAAGAAGGTGTGGAGAGGAAGGAAGAGAACAGAACAGGCAGAAAGATACCCAGCAGGAGAAGAGCGGGCCGGGGGTGCTCTGGGCACTTACCCAGTGGGCAAGCAGCCTCTAGAGAGTAGGCGTAGTGACCTCCCACCAGCCAGAGCGGCAGCAGCTCCATGGGGACATTCTGCACCTGGGGAAGCAGGCCAGTCCCCTCTGTGACCCCGAAAAGTGCTTCTTCCCCAGGCTCAATCCTCCACCACCTCCACCCACCCCCCAGTCCCAACTAGTATCTCAATTAAACTCCCCAAGTGTGCCAGAGCTCAGGCCAGGGCCCACTGCTCTTGTGTAACCAGGAAATATTATTTAGCAGGGATATTTTTAGCAGGAGGCAGGCTGGGAGCAAATGTCACATGAGCTGTCTTCTCTTACCCGGCAACTTTGGGCTATTTAAAGAGATGGTAATTTCGTCTCTGCCACGATGATCAGGACGCGGTGAATTCATGATTGCCGCAGCCCCTCATCTGCCGAGCCGAGCACTTTACGCTAATGGGACCCAATTTTCCAACCTGCCTGCCTAAATCCGTCCGGTCTCACAGGCGGCCGCTTGGTGGGTGGTGAGATACTCTTTGGGGTGCAACGACACTCCGGAGGTTCCCCACCACCCCCTCCCCCGCCCCACGTCGGGCAGAGCCGGTCCCTGCTGACCTCCTGTCTCTGCAGAAGGTCTCGCCGGGGGATTTGAACGGTGATGGTGGTGACATTGAGGTCCACCTGCAGCCCCATCAGGCTCGCATCCTCCAGAGACACCACCATCTCCCCACGAAGGGTCAACAGCCACGGGGCCTAGAGAGACATGGCCGCTGGGGATCGGGGAGGATGCGGGGCATCTTCCTGGAGAGAACAGGCTGGCCCAGGCAGTAGGATGGCAGCCTCTCAGGGGGCCTGTACCCCCGTGTTTTAGGGGACACACAATGTGACTAAATGAGGTAGCACTGCCCACAGTTGGTCCACAGGACACCCAGGTTTGGGGCCTGGTCCTTGGTCCCTGGCAATCAGGGTCTTGAACAAAGGTGATTGGCTGGTGCCGGGAGAAGGGCGGTCTAGCCTCTGTCCTGAGCTGGGGAAAGGCACCAGGTACATACTGCAAGGGCTCAAGGGGTTGTGAGGGGGAGATGGGGACCCAGCTCCTCCCCGGAGGCCTCAGGCCGAGCACCATGACTCACGCCTGGAATCCTAGTGACTTGGGAGGCTGAGATCTGAGGAAAGCAGGATAAGGCCAGCCGGGGCTGGAAAGTCCACAAGACTCTTACCTTCAATTAACCACCAAGAGGCTGGAAGCGGAACTCAAGTGGTAGAGCGGTAGCCTTGAGCAAACAAGCTCAGACACAACACCTAGATCCTGAGCTCAAGCCCCAGGACCAGCATTAAAATAATAATAATAATAATAAAACACCTGGAGCAACATAAGGAAAAGAGGGGACAGAAGCTTGCTGCTCAAACAGGTGGCTCCCAAAGGAACAAACTCACTAGGAATGTGGCTTAGTGGTTGAGTGTTTGCATGAAGGAAGCCCTGGGTTCCATTCCTCAGTATCACATACACAGAAAAGGCCAGAAGTGGCGCTGTGGCTCAAGTGGTAGAGTGCTAGCCTTGAGCTGAAGAGCTGAGGGACAGCGCCCAGGCCCAGAGTTCAAGCCCCACGACCAACCAAAAAAAAAAAGCTAAGGCTCTGAGTTCAAGTCCCAGTCGCAACACAAGAACAAACAAAACTTTTTTGCCTCAGCTCCACCCTGAGCCTGGAAAGTGTTCCTGCCGCACCTACCTGTCCACTGTGGGTCCTCAGGGGCAGGGGCCGAGAGACCTGCAGAACAAAGAGGAAGCCATGTCTCCTGGCATGTGCGAGCAAGGCTGAGCAAGCAGCCTGCTGCCTGCGCCCCAGCGCCAGCCATCAGCGCCGCGGGGCCGGCGGGAGGCGCTACAGCCGCCTTGTTTGCTCATGAACCCAAGAAAATCGTTGATGCTGTTGGACTCAAGTGTCCACAGACCCAGGGAAATGTCACTGCTTCAGCTGCTGGCCCGGCCGGGCCAAGGGAGCCAGGCACAGCTGGGGAGGTGGAGGGTAGGGTGTGTGAGGCTCAGATGCCCGCAGGTCAGAACTGGTCTCTCTGAACCTGGTGCCAGTGGTTCACGCCTGCAATCCTAGCTACTCAAAAGGCTGAGATCTGAGGATCGTGATTCCAAGCTAGACCAGGGAAGAAAAGCCTACGAGTTCTTCTCTCCAATTAACCAGCAAAACGCAGGAAGTGGGGGCTGGGAAGTTGGCTCAGTGGTAGAGCGCTTGCCTTGCATGCCAGAGGCCCTGGGTTCCATTCCTCAGCACCACATAAGCAAAAAGAAAAAAGCCGTAAGTGGCGCTGTGGCTCAAGTGATAGAGTGCTAGCCTTGTGCTGAAGAGCTGAGGGACAGCGCCCAGGCCCAGAGTTCAGGCCCCACGACTGGACCCCCCCAAAAAAAACAAAAAAAAAATATGCAGGAAGTGAAGGTGTGGCTCAAGTGGTAGAGTGCCAGCCTTGTGCCAAAAAGCCAAACAAGAACACAAGCCCCTGAGTTCAAGCCTTATTTCCAGCACACACACACACATACACACACACACACACACACACACACCAGTGGCATCATCCTGAGGGTGACCAGCTGTCCCAGGTCCCCTGGGAATGAAGCAGTTAAGTACTTTCCATACTGAACTGAAGACAGAGCCAGTTAAACCAGGCAGGCATCAGTATACCGATGGCATTCTCCCACCTCCTAGTCAAGGGCTGAGGTATTTGCGGGGGGGGGGGGGGGGGGGCGCAGGGCGCGCCTGAGCCCCAGCGGCCCGCGGTGCCACCTCTGCCCGGCTGTTGCCTCTTCTATGGTCGCCAAACCCCTTTGACTTTGCTGCGAGGTGGGGAGGTGGAGGCACAGAACATAGTCACTGACCAGCGGGGATTATGTGACCCCCCCCAAACAGGTGAGGGCTGAGGTCACAGAGGACTGAGTCATGGAGGAGGAGGAAGACGAGGACTAGGAAAAGCCCAGCTGCCCAGAGTCCCCCCTGCCCCCCGCACCCCCTCTCCCCCACCCCCAGTGCCAGAAAACTGAAGCTAGCCGGCAAGAGGCCCCTTGGGCAGTCGCTGAAATTTCTTGGTGTTTGGGACCAGGCGCTGGTAGCTCACACTTGTGATCCTAGCTCTTCAGGAGCCTGAGAGGTGAGGATCACAGTTCAAACCCAGCCCAGGCAGAAAAGCATGAGACTCTTCACCTGCCGTTAACTACTAAAAAGAAGCCAGAAGTGGAACTGTGGCTCCAGTAGCCAAGAGACAAGTTCAAGCCCCAAGACTGGTACCAAATAAATAGAATTCAAAAAGAAAGGAAGGAAGGAAAGGTGTGATGGAGCGTGCAGGCCAGGTGCCCTTTAAATGATCATGCTCAGACTATATTTAGGGCCCGCGGACACTCCTCAGGACCCGGGCAGCTTTCCCTGGGAGCCATCGCTAATCACTGCGTTGAGTTTACGGGCGCCCCCGGGCACACTTAACCCAGGGCAATGAATAGTTATTGCTCTGCCTCTCGCGCAGGGCCTGTGGGCACACTTAAGCGAGCCGCACCGATCGCTGCGAGCAGGGCATGGCTGGGGTACACCCTCGGGCCCCCTGCGCCATCAGCAGGGAGAAGGCAGAGTATTAAATATCTATGTGTCCTGTGCCCACAGCTGCATTTAGCCAAGGGCAAGGCCGGCAAAACGGCTTTAATTAAAACTTAATGCAAGTTCAAGGTGCAGCCACGGAAGCAGCGGCTGCGAAAGTCACCAGGAATGAATCAGTCAATTCGATGAGCTTCTCCCAGCCCAGGCAAGGGGGTTGGCAGGGAGGAGGGCTGGGGCAAAGACTTGTCTTTGGTCTCTTGTGTGCAGAGGGATGTGGGGTCCCCGCCGGCTTCCACACCCTGGCTGGTGACGGATTCAAAGGCAGGTTAAGGGGGCCAGGAGCAGGGGAGGGGCCCCAAAGCAGGAGCCTGGCCAGGAAATCATTTTCTCCGCTATTCTCCGCTGGTGGCTGTGGACAGACACCCGCAGCACTGCCCCCCCTTGTGGCAGCTCCTAGAATTACAGGCCCAGTGCAGAGAAAAAAACTAGGCGGCCCGAGTGAGAATCAGATTGTGGAAAGCAATGTTGGGGTGGCTAAGGGGAGACCTGGCAGCTCTTGGGAGCACAACAACAGGCTTAATGTGGTCACACCGGACCATTAAAAATACAGAGGGAACAGGGAGCCAGTGGCTCACACCTGAGGCTGAGGATCACCATTTAAAGCCAGCCCAGGCAGGAAAGTCCGTGAGACTCTTTTCTCTAATAATCCACCAGAAAACGGGAAGTGGTGCTGTGGTTTAAGTGGTAAGAGTGCTCACCTTAAGCTAAAGAGCTCAGGGACAGCTCCCAGACCTTGTGTGCAAGCCCCTCAACCGACACACACACACACACACACACACACACCCCTCACCCAAAAGCCAGAAGGAGAGTTGTGGCTCAAGTGGTAGCACACTAGACTCAAGCAAAAAAAAAAAAAAACAAACTCAGGGATAGGGCTCAGGCCCTGGGTTCAAGCCCCAGGACGGGCACCAATGCAGTAGAGCTCCACACTGTGGCTCACACCTGCAACCCTAGCTACTCAGGAGGCTGAGATCTGAGGATCACGGTTTGAAGCCAGCCCAGGTAAGGAAGTCCATGAGATGGTTGTCTTCAATTAACCACCAAAAAGTCAAAAGTGGAGCTGTGGCTCAAACAGTCGAGTGCTAGCCTTGAGCAAAAAAACTCAAGGAGCCAGGTGCTGGTGGCTCACGCCTGTAATCCTAGCTACTAAGAAGGCTGAGATCTGAGGATTGCAGTTCAAAGCCAGCCCCGGCAGGAAAGTCCACGAGACTCTTTTTTTTTTTTTTTTTGGTGGGTTGTGGGGCTTGAACTCTGGGCCTGGGTGCTGAAGACTCTTATCTTCAATTAAACACCAGAAAACAGGAAGTGGCGCTATGGCTCAAAGTGATGGAAAAAGCTCAGGGACAGCACCCAGGCCCTGAGTTCAAGCTCCACGAATGACAAAAAAAACAACAAAAAATACCTCAAGGTAGAGCCCAGGCCCTGAGTTCAGCACACACACAAAATGCCCAGAGGAACCTGGCACCCAGCCAGCAGCCATGAACATCCGCAGAGATGTTTGCTGTCTATCACATGGCCCTTCCAGCTGCCACCTCTCCCTGACCGTGTCCCAAGGTTCATGAACCATAGCCACTTGCCCGGGCCTTTGGAGGGAAGCCCAGCCTGGGCTGCCTCTCCCAGGCCCATCCCAGTACCCCCTCCCAAGTCCACCTAGGCCCCTCCCAGTACCTCCTCCCAAGTCTACCCAGGCCCCTCCCAGTACCCCCTCCCAGGCCCTCCCAGTACCCCCTCCCAAGCCCACCCAGGCCCTCCCAGTACCCCCTCCCAAGTCTACCCAGGCCCCTCCCAGTACCCCCTCTCAAGTCTACCCAGGCCCCTCCCAGTACCCCCCTCCCAAGTCTACCCAGGCCCCTCCCAGTACCCCCCCCAAGTCCACCCAGGCCCCTCCCAGTATCCCCTCCCAAGTCCACCCAGGCCCTCCTAGGCCCCTCCCAAGCCCTCCAGCCCCTCCCAGCCCCTCCCAGCCCCTCCCAGGACCCTCCCAGGTCCTCCCAGCCCACCCCTCAGGCCCCTCCCAGGCCCCTTAGGGCCCCCTCCCAGTCCCTCTCAGCCCTCCCCAGCCCCCCCAAGGCCCCTCCCAGCCCCTTCCATCCCCTCCCAGCCCCTCCCAGGTCCCTCCTGGGACCCCTAAGAGGCCCCTCCCAGGTCTGCCAGACCGGCTACCTGAATGAAGGAGGGCCTGCAGAGGACGCTCTGCTGGCCAGGCCTTGGCGGGACCACAGGACACTTCATTATGTAGCGATCGCTCTGCTCCAACCTCTTCACCCCTTTGCGAAAGATTCTGATTTCCAACCTGTAATTTGCGTTCTGGAAGGAGGACAGCATTCATATGCACAAATGAAAGAAGAAAATGCAGCTGAGAGGCCGCCCTTAGAGGTCGGTGCCTGTTTATTGCTTGCCAACGGCCTGGAATTAAGTCTCCTGGAGGATGGATGAGCAGCGAGACAAAGGCCAGCGTGAACTGGGGCTCGGGTCCCACTTTGGGGCTCTACCAGATTGCCCTGACCAGGAGCCCTGGGTCTAGGGGCAGCGTGGGTTTCAGAAAGGTCACCCTTGGCCACATAGAACAGGAGCTGGTACCTATGTACCCTGGAGTGTGTGTGTGTGTGTGTGTGTGTGTGTGTGTGTGTGTGTGTGTGTGTGTGTGTGTGTGTGTGTGTGTGTGAGACACTCCTGGGATTTGAACTCAGGAACTCATGCTTCCCTTTTGCTTCCCAATCCTCAGTAATGCAAAACAGAGCAAAACCATTTTTGTACCCACCTCCTTTTGCACAAAGCAGGCCGAGTACAGAGCCTGGAAAATGAAGTGACCCTCAGGCCCGGGACGCAGGAGGTAGCCGCACTGGGCCAGAAGATGACCCTGACCTCCAGGGGACCTCCAGGTGCCTGGGAGGAGAAAGGACCAGCGCGGCGGTTCACACAGAGGCTACTTTTCTATTGAGGTCAGAAGCATCAGACGCCCATCCACACCCAGGGCCTCCACCCCCGGGCCGGGCTTGCACGAGAGCAGCAGGCCAGCAGTCTGGGACTCCCCTCGGGGCGTCAGCTGCTCCCAGCACCATCCTGGGCACTGTCTCTGCCCTCATCTCCTGCTTCCCTTCCGCACAGCATCGATGCCTTGTTCAAACCTGAGTCAGACCTGTCCTTCCTCTGTCCACACCTCCCTTTCTGACCCCAGCATCCCAGGCACACACCTGCCTCAGGGCCTTTGCATCGGCTGAGCCCTGCGCTTCCTCCCTGAAGCACTTATTATTATCCCAGCACCTGCGATTTAATTGACGATTTATAATAAGGGATGCTTTGCTGCCCTCCCCAAAACGTCAGCTTCATGGCACCAGGTTTGTTTTTCTTCATCGATGCATCCCAGCTATAGACAGGACTCTCCGTAAATAGTTATTGGATGGATGAAATACAAAAATTTCAGCCAGGCACGGTGGCTCATACCTATGATCCCAGCTACTCAGGAGACTGCGATCTGAGGATTGCAGTTCAAAATCAACCCAGGTAGAAAAGCCCATGATGGGCTGGGACAGTAGCTCAGTGGTAGAGTGCATGCCTTGGATGCATGAGGCCCTAGGTTCAGTTCCTCAGCACCACATAAGCAGAAGCAGCTGGAAGTGGCGCTGTGGCTCAAGTAAAGTTCTAGCCTTGAGCTGAAAAGCTGAGAGACAGTGTCCAGACCCAGAGTTCAGGCCCCATGACAAAAAGAAAAAGAAAAGAAAAGTCCATGAGACTTCTTTCTAAGCTGGAAATGGAAGTATGGCTCAAGTGGTAGAGGACCGACGTAGGGCAAAAAAAATTCAAGTGAGAGCATGAGCCCTGAGTTCAAGCCCCAGCGCTTGAATCTCACTGCTAAAGGGATCATGGACCATTTTTATTATCTCCTTTCCACTATTCCAGGTTTCCAGAATTATCTTGTATTGCTTTTGTCTTAGTTTTTGTTTTCTGGGTTTTTTTTGGGGGGGGGGGTTGTTTTTGTTTTTGGTCATTCTGGGGACTTGAACTCAGGGCCTGGGTACCTTCCCTGAGCTTTTGTGCTCAAGGCTAGCACTCTGCCACCTGAACCACAGCTCCACTTCTGGCTTTCTGGTGGGTAGCTGGAGATCAGAGTCTCACAGACTTTCCTGCCCAGGCTGGCTTTGACCTGAGATCCTCAGATCTCAGCCTCTTGAGTAGCTAGGATGACAGGCGTGAGCCACGGTTTCATTTTCAACTACTTGACTGTGTCACTGACAGGAGAAGGGTGTCCCACCGTGGAGTAGGGCAGCTCCCACCGTGGAGTAGGGCAGCTCCGGGCAGCGTTTTGGTCCCCAGCTTACTTGTCTCTTGGCATGCTTTGCTTTAAAAAAAAAAAATGCAAGACAGCTTCCAGGGCTATCTTTAGCAAGAGATCAAGACAGAGAGCGAGGCTCTGAAAGGTAGCTCGCTGGGGAAATAAAGTGTCTAAGCCTGGATGTGCAAATTGACCCAGATCGTTTTAGTTTGGCATTCACGTTTGCGCGTTGTAAATATTTGCCTGGCACCCCACTGTTTCCACCTGCTTGCTGTCCCTTCAACTCTGGAAGGCAGCAGGAACCTCATTTCTCCACCCCACCTGGCAGGGCTGCGTGACATAAAAACCCCCTCAGAAGCCACAGGTACCTCTGACAGCCTCAGAAACTAATGGCTTGTGGCAGGCCACTATGACTAATTTTCTGATTATTGACTTTATGATTTTCCGCTTAAAACTTCTTTATAATAACACACAGAAAATGTTTAATGGGCTCTATCCAGAGCCATAAAAATTACTTATTGAACAAGTGTTTTAAAACTATTAATCTATTGTTTTCCATTAATAATGGCTCTCCAAAGAACAGGCGACAGCTTAATGTAGCCGCAGCATTTCTTCTGGAAAAAGTGGCCTTTTAATACACCAAGTCTCTGGAGAAAGCCACAATCTTGCTGGCCATTTGGGCAACTGACCCTCCCAGGGTCCCATCAGCCAGCCTGGGCTTTCAGGATTTCTAGAATGAAGTCAGGTGCTGGTGGCTCACGCCTGGAATCCTGGCTACTCAGGAGGCTGAGATCTGAGGATCACAGTTCAAAGCCAGGCTGGGCAGGAAATTCCATGAGACTCTTACCTCCAGTAAACTACCAAAAAGCTGGAAGTGGAGCTGTGGCTCAAGTGGCAGAGCACTAACTTTGAACAAAAATAAAAAGCTCAGAAACAGTGCCCAAGCCCTGAGTTCAAGCCCTATCATTGCCACAAAAATTTTAAAAGAAGAAGAATTTCTAGAATAAAGCTGCGCGTGGGTGGCTCACAGCTAGAATCTTAGCTACTCAGGAGGCTGAGATCTGAGGATTGAAGTTAAAAGCCAGCCCAGGCAGGAAAGTCTGTGAGACACTTATTTCCCATTAACTACCCAAAAAAGCCAGAAATGGAACTATGGCTCAAGGGATAGAATGCTAGTATTGAAGAAAAATTAGCACAGGGATCACGCCTAAGCCGAGTTTAAGCCCCAGTATCAGCACCAAAAGAAAAAAACAAAAAACCTAGAATAATGAGGATGCTGGGGAGTTTTGCTAGACTCTGGGAGAAATGTAAAAGCCCGTTTCCTCAGTTTCTCTTTTTTTTTGTGCAAAAGTGGGGGGAGGAGGGATTTTGAGGAGTCACTTTGCAACCTCCAAGATATAAAAGACACAAGGAATTGGGCTACTCCAATTCTTTCCAGAAGGTTCCAGAAGGTTCCAGGTGATTCACCTTATGGCATCCACTCCCCCTCCTACTGTGTCCTGTTCATGATGGCAAAACTTCTGACAAAGGACCACTAGCCCTGGGTTTTGGTTGTTTCCAGTGGCTATTCATCCATCCAGCATGAGAGAGTTACTGACTCTCCATGAGTAAGAACTGTCCTGTAGCACCAGGCACTGGTGGCTCACGCCTGTCATCCTAGCTACTCAGGAGGCTGAGATCTGAGGATCATGCTTCAAAGCCAGCCCAGGCAGGAAAGTCCCCTTGAGACTCTTATTTCCAATTAACCACTCAAAAGCTGGAAATGGCTGCTGCGGCTCAAGTAGTTGAGCACTAGCCTTGAGCACAAAGAAGCTCAGGGACAGCACTGAGGCCCTCAGTTCAAGCCCCACAACCAACAAAAAAAAATACAGAATTGTCCTGAAGCTGTCCGGCTATTTCTCTGCCAGGGCAGTTTGGGTTTGGGAGCACACCACCTCTACAGGACGCTTCTTCCCAGGTTTTAGGCCATTTTATTTGTTTTTGTCAGTCATGGGGCTTGAACTCGGCCTGGGTGCTGTCCCTGATCTCTTCAGTTCAAGGCGATCACTCTACCACCTGAGCCCACAGCGCCACTTCTGGTTTTCTGATGGTTTATTCACAAATATTCAGTGTCTGCCATGAGCGCCAGCAGCATGATCATTCCCCACAGAGCCCTCCCTCCCTCCCCCCCCCCCCGCTCCCCCCCCCCCCCGCCTCCCTGTAACCCAGGTGCCATCATCATCCTGTAGACCCTGCTGTGAACCACCGTGGAAGACATTTCGAGCAGAGCTGACAGGAGGGTGTGACTGGGCAGGCTCTGGCCCTGGAGGCTGTGAGCAAAGATGGCAGAGACAGCAAGGAGCAGTGGGACAAGAAGAGCGACATCCAGACGGGGGAAGGCCCTGTCCAGCCAGCAGCGGCCCCTTACCTAGTGGGTGCAGGGTCCGGGCCAGCCACTGCCTCAGCCCCTCCACACGGGCCCTGGGGATCCGCAGGGTCATGTAGTCAGAGAAGCACTCGGCCCTGTCTGCAGGACAAGACACGCATCCTGGAGGAGGGGGGAGGAAGGAAGAAGGGGACAGAAGAGGGAAGGGAGGAGGGGGGAGATGGGCTTCCCCACTCAGCCCTGCCTCAGTGGATGAGTTGCGAAGGGCACGTGGTCATCCTGACAACTCTACAAGAGTTTTCAGAGACCGGAAGCAAGGGGACTTAGTGATCCACGTGAGAGCACTGAGTCCGAGCATCTGGGTCTGCACCCCGCTCTGTTCTCTGCGTGTGTGCAGGTGTGTGCATGCCTGTGCGGGTGCGTGTCTGTCGCTCAGCCTCAGTCTCTTCCTGTGAATTGATCGCATGATGGGATGGGTGACGGTGGTAGAGATGGTAGTGATAGAGAAGATCAGGATGGAAGTGGCGGTGATTATGGCGATAGGAATGATAGAGGTGGTGATGATGCTGATGATGGTGGTGATGGTAGTAGAGACGGTGGTGGTAGAGGTGGTGGTGGGGATGGTGGTAGGGATGATAGTAATGGTGGTGGTAGAGGTGGTGGTGGGGATGGTGATGGTGACAGGCATGATGATGGAGATGGAGATGGTGATGGTGGAGATGTGTTGGCGATGATGGTAGGCTGGAAATGATGGAGGATGTGAGACTTGGTGAAGTTCACGCGTCTCTGCAGGGTGCTCGTGGCAGGACAGGTGCCTGGGATGTGACCACGACTTCCACGCAGCGTGGACAGGGCTTTCTCCGCTCTCAGAGCTGGGGGCCCACGGCCCCACCCCCACCGCACCTACCAGCTCAGCAGCTGCCGGAGAGAGAGCGCCCAGGAGAGAGCAGGTGTCAGAACACCACTTCTCCGTGGGGTTCGGCAAACACAGAAAATGGGGCACCTGGGGTCGGAGGCGTGGCTCAGATGGTACAGTGCCAGCCAAGGAGCAAAAGCATCAGATACCAAGTTTAAGTCCTGGCCTTGGACAAACAGGAAAAAGGAAGAGAAGATGGGCTCCTGCCCCCGCTGCACACCGTGGCGTTTGAGAAGGTCTGAGTGAGCAGACCCAAGTGGGAGACCCGGGATTCGAACCATCAGTAGCGTAGGAACTTCCTCCCAGGTCACCGGACCCAGAAACAGTGGGGTGGGGCAAGCTACTCAGCCTCGGACCCCAAAACCCAGGCAGCGGCCACCGCCTGAGCACAGCCTGCGGCGAGCGCGGCATCCTGGAAGTGCCCCATGTCCCACCCCATCTCCCCCACCAGCCACAGGGCAACCCGCACCATGCCAGTCCCTTCTCAGAACCATCGATCACTCCCTACTGCCGGTGTGTGTGTGTGTGTGTGTGTGTGTGTGTGTGTGTGTGTGTGTGTGTGTGTGTGTGTGTGTGTGTGTGTGTGTGTGTGTCTTGTTGGTCATGGGGCTTGAACTCGGGGTCTGGGCACTGTCCCTGAGCTCTTCAGCTCAAGGCGAGCACTCTACCACTTTGAGTTACAACGCTACCTCTGGTGTTCTGGTGGTTTATTGGAGGTAAGAGTCTCACAGACTTTCCTGCCCAGGCTGGCTTGGAACCAAGATCCTCAGCTCTCAGCCTCCTGAGTAGCTAGGATGACAGGTGTGAGCCACCAGCACCCAGCTGTTCCCTCTTTCTAAACAGCATTCCTCACTCTGCTAGATGGAGATGAGCTTGTCTTCCACTCAGGTGACATAAGGCTTGGAGCAGGGGGGTGGGCAGGGGCTGTGGTGGTCCTGTCAATCATTCTGTGCCTAAGGCACCTTCTTAGATCAGTGTCTGGGCCCCAGCAGCTGTTAAAGATACACCAGGAAATGACTGTGGTTGAAATCTGGGGTGGCCGGGAAATAGAGAACGAGAGGGGTGTTAGTCTAATTCCCTCCTGCCTCCCCCTAGGAGCTGGGAGGCCTAGATGACACTAACTCTGTTCACTCGTTCACCGAGCACACTGCCTGGCAGCCTCAGGCTTCCATTCCACATGCACAGGCCTCGTCGGCAGCCCCACAGGTGCAGCGCTAACCAGGGAGCCGAAAGCAACTAAGGAATCTTCCAGAACCTTGCAGGATGAGACCTTTCCCCCAGAGCCCAGCCCAGGCCTCCAAACATGCCCATGTTCCACAGATTTCCACTGTGCATAGCTGAGGACTCAAAAAGCGAGAAGGTGGGGAAAACATCTTCTGTCCTGAGTGGACATGCAACCTTCGAGGAAGGATTCAACGGGCCTGAGGGAGGAGGGGGCTCTGGAGCGACCTGGGGTAAGTCACTTCTCTGAGATTCCATTTCCTCTTCTGCAAAAATGGGTATATGCAGAGAGAAGATTTGGGAGGAAGATGCTAAGCTTTTGCAAATGTTGCTTTGTTTCTCTGGGGACAGAGACCACACACCACACAGCCCAGGTGAATGACGTGATTTCAGGCTGGGAATCTTGAACTGCAGGATGCCCATGATTTAACATCCAGGCAGGGCAGACCTAGGTGGGACCGGCAGGTGCTCAGCCAAGCTACTTAGCTGAGCCCCAGAAAAACTCTGCACGCTGAAGCTCTGGTGAGCAACACTCGGTCTGGTTGTGACTCGTGGAAGTCAGCGCTGTCCACCTGTCCCCAGTGAGACAGGATGCTGACAGGCTCTTTGTGGGCCCTGCCCTGAGCATTCTCCCCTTAGCTGAGTTGAAACAAGAGCGTCTTCTCTGTCATGAACCACAGCCTTGAGGTCTTGAATCATGGTGAATGAAGGAGGCTAATAACGGCCTTTTTTCTGCTCAAGATTGGAGCTCTACCTCTTGAGCCACATCTCCACATGGGGATTTTTGCTGATTCATTGCAGTGTAGGGGCTCTTGCAAGCCAGGCACTGGTGGCTCAGGCCTGTCATCCTAGCTACTCCGGAGGCTGAGATCTGAGGATCATGCTTCAAAGCCAGCCCAGGTGGGAAAGTCCATGAGACACTTATCTCCAATTAACCACCAGAAAAGCCACATGTGGAGCTGTGGCTCAAGCAGTAGAGTGCTCACCTTGAACACAAAAGCTCTGGGACAGCTCCTAGGCTCTGAGTTCAAGCGCCACATCTGACATAAAAAAGATAAAGGGGAAAAAAAAGTTGCTTGGCTTTGTTTGCTCAGACCGGCTTTGAACTATGGTGCTCAGATCTGACTTTCTGAGTAGCAAAGATTATAGTCACAAGCCAGTGATGTGGGGAGGGGGTGGAGGGTAGGAGGGAGGGCATTCTAAGTCTCTCAAAGACAAAATAAGCTGAGGAAAACCACAGTTCTGGGCCTGGCTGAGAACAAATAGTCCCTGTGTGTGGCTTCTATAAAGTCCTCTGCTTGTAGTGACTGAGGCAGAGACCCTGGGACAGCCTGATCGACATCCAGGCTCACCCGCCCACTTCCAGAGGACCCAGACAAATCACACACACCTCTGGACCGTGGCTTCCTTGCAAAGATTTCCGCTGTGGTTAGAATGAGTTAGAAGACACAAAACGTCCATGCCACACCTGGTTCAACACATAGGCTCCTTGCATGGATGTCGGTGGCTCATGCCTGTCCACCTCAGCTACCCCGGAGGCTGAGATCTGAGGATCGTGGCTCAAAGCCAACCTGGGCAACAGAGTCTATGAGACTCTTATCTCTCGTTAACCACCAAAAAACGAGAAGTAGAGCTGTGGCTCAAATGGTAGAGGCTGAGTGAAAAAGCCAAGTGAGAATGGAGAGCCCAGTAATAGTGCACATGCATGCATGCACACACACACACACACACACACACACACACACACACACACTCCTCATGTTTGCTGTATTCCTGAGTCAAGACCCCAGGCCCAGGCTTGATTCAGGCACCTGCAGGACTAGCAGGCCAGTGGCCCAGCACTTAGACACCCAGAACCTCAGTTTCTTGCTGGGAAAAGAGATGGTGAAGGCTTTCCAGCTTTCCGCCGAATACAACACTGGCACAGCGTGGTGTTATCCATCCACTCCTGGGAGTGGAGAAGCACCCGAAGCCTGCTACACACCAGAAAAGTGAGATTGCTTTACCTGTGGGAGTGCCCTGAGCAGGGCGTGGCCGGTCCCGGACTGACTTGGAGCTGGGAATCCTGGGGCACACTACTGGCTGAACACAGGCGAGACAAACGGCCCTGCACAGAGGAGGAAGGCGTGGGGGTCACAGCCCAGGCCACCCTCTGGCCTTCAGTCAGCCCCACAATTTTACTCCTTTTGTTTTGGAGTGTGTGTGTGTGTGTGTGTGTGTGTGTGTGTGTGTGTGTGTGTGTGTGTGTGTGTGTGTGTGTGTGTGTGTGTGTGCTGGTCCAAGACTTGAACTCAGGGACTATGTACTGTCCCTGAGCTCTTCCTCTCAAAGCTAGGGCTCTACCATTTGAGCCACAGTGCCACTTCTGGTTTTTGAGTGGTTAATTGGCTATAAGAGTCTCACAGACTTTCCTGCCAGGGCTGGCTTCCAGCCTCCAGAGTAGCTAGGGCTGCAGGCATGAGCCACCAGCTGTTTTATTGTTGTTGTTTTATTTGTTTCCATACTAGGGTTTGTACTCAAGGTCCTAAACTACCTCTTGAGACATGCTTCCACTTCTGACTTGGTTGCTGGGTAATTGGAGATAAGAATCATACAGACTTTTCTGCCCCAGATGGCTTTGAACCCGGATCCTCAGGCCTTAGCCTCCTGAGTAGCTAGGATTAGAAGGCATGAGCCACCAGCACCCAGCTTGTTTGGTCATTTGTTTATTTATTTGTCTTTCGTATTTCCTCACTGCCCCAGCGTTTTTTATTGTCTGTACAAAGGGGTTCCATTTTGATACCTCTATGTATGAATATAAAGTATCTTAACCAGACTTGCTCCTCTCTTCCTGGCTCTCCACTTCCCAACCATTGTTCCATTTTTCTACCTGGTTTTGCTTTTCTGAGACAGGGTCCCACCCTAGAACCTAGAACCTTGAGCTAATGATCTTCCTGCCTCTTCCTCCTGAAAGCTGAGATTATAGGCATGCATATCTCAGTTCATTTCATTCAGTCAAAGACATCTATTTGGCTAACTAGGAGCTCCAACTACAGGGCTTCCCACACACTGGATAAGTCCTCTACTATTGAGCCACACATAACCCTACTCAGGAGGCTGAGAACTGGAGGATTTCTGTTCAAGGCCAGCCAAGACATCAAAGTCCATATGTCTCAATCTGCCAGGCCTAGGCAGCAGAGCCTGCAGAGCCATGGTGCAGACTTCGATTTTGTTATAAAATGATAAGTTCTGGAGAATACTAAGCAGAAAAGGAACTGGATCATGTGTTTCAAGAAGGTCCTTCTGGGGAGGAGGCTGGGAAGGGATATGAAGGGTAAACAAAGGAGGAGGCTGCAATGCTTGGTAAGAAATGTACACATTATCCTGCCCATGTAATTGTAACCCCTCTGTACAGTATGTTCACAAATAAAATAAAATACATTAAAAAAAAAAAAAGAAGGTCCTTCTGGCTGCGTACAGTGAATCCTGCCTGTAATACCAGCTACTCAGGAGTCGGATGAGGAGGATCAAGGTTCAAGACTAACCCAGGTAAAAGTTAGCAAGCAAGACCTCCATCTTGACCACTTAGCTGAGCATAGTGGTGTTTGTCTCTACTCCTAGCTACGTGGGTGGTGTAAATAGGAGGATCACAGTCCTGGAAAGATGAAAGTCCTAGGCACAAAATGAAATTTGTCTGAAAAATAATGCAGAAAGGTCTAGAGGGGTTCAAGGGCAGCGTCCTTCTCACAAGGGCAAGTCCTGAAGGTGAACCCGAGCACCACCCATAAAATGGGGGTCCTTGCCGGGCACCTGTGGCTCCCGCCTGTCATCCTGGCTATTCAGGAGGCTGAGATCTGAGAATCATGGTCCAAAGCCAACCAGGGCGGGAAAGGCCCTGAGACTCTTCTCTCCAACTAACCACCCAAAGCCAGAAGTGGAGCTGTGGCTCAGGTGAACAAATGTGAGCATGGAGCCAAACAGCCAAGGAGACCCTGCCTGAGTATAAGCCCCAGTACCAACACACACACACACACACACACACACACACACACACACACACACACACACACACACACACAACCAAAACTGAGGAAGAAGCCTCGGGCGGGAGAAATTCGCAGTTTTTCTCTGACATTTAGCAATGTCGTCAGCAGGGTACCCCGGCCTGTGCTGAGGAAAACCAAGCTAAATACGCATGCTGGAAGCTCCGGCGGCCTACACTGCCTTCAGTCCCATCAGAAGTGAGGCGTGGGCTTGGGTTTTGCCCTCTCTCTTCTCCAGCAGCCCTTTAACTTGCCTTGCCCAGCCTTGAACACGTGATACCTCGTGCCCCAAAGCTGAGCTCTGGGGGGGGAGAAGGGGGGAGTCCCTGGCTTAGGACCCCGCTCTTGTTTGCCCACCCACTAAGCTACTCTGTGCCTTCATTGTCCACAGAGCTACAGAACAGAAACAAAGAGGCCAGTCAGGGCTGCCAGACTGCTGACTTTCAAGCTGACCTTCAAGACCAAACTCCCCACTCCAAAGAGCTCAAAAAGTGATTTTTCTCTTCCTTTTTTGTTGGTCATGGGGCTTGAACTCTGGGCCTGGGCACTGTCCCTCAGTTCTTCAGTTCAAGGCAAGCAGCCATAGTGCTGCTTCCGGTTTTCTGGTGGTTAATTGGAGATAAGAGTCTCACAGCCTTTCTTGCTCAGGCTGGCTTTGCACTGAGATTCTCAGATCTCAGCATCCTGAGTAACTAGGATTACAAGTGTGAGCCACCATGCCTGGCTCTTCTTTTTCTTTTTCTTTTCTTTTTTTTGGGGGGTCTGGTGGTGGAGCCTGAACTCTGGGCCTGGGCGCTGTCCCTCAGCTCTTCAGCTCAAGGCTAGCGCACTACCACTTGAGCCACAGCACCACTTCCAGCTTTTTTCTTTTTGCTTATGTGGTGCTGAGGAATCGAACCCAGGGCCTCAGGCGTGCAAGGCAAGTGCTCTACCACTGAGCCACCTTCCCAGCCCCTTCTTTTCTTTTTCTAAACCAGTGTGATTCCTTGCATTCATGCTCTCACCTGGCCTTTTTGCTCAAGGCTGGCATTCCCCACTTGAGCTACTTCTGTCTTCTTGTTGGTTAGTTGGACATAAGAATCCCAAGGAGGGCTGGGAAGGAGGCTTAGTGATAGAGTGCTTGCCTAGCATGCAAGAAGCCCTGGGTTCAATTCTTCAGTACCATATACTCAGAAAAAAGCCAGAAGTGGTGCTGTGGCTCAAGTGGTAGAGTGCTCAGGGACAGTGCCCAGGCCCTGAGTTCAAGCCCCAGAGCTGACAAAAAAAAAAAAAAAGAGTCTCACAAACTTTTCTGCCCAGGCCAGCTTCAAACTGCCGTCCTCAGATCTCAGCCTCCTGAGTAGCTAGGATGACAGGCGGGAGCCACCAGCGCCCGGCTCAACATGATTTCTTAACAGCAGATCTCAGCCTGGAAAGGGAGCTTGCCGTTCCTAAGGGAAATAACATTTTCTCCTTCTCACAATGGGATCACTGGTGGCGAGGACTCTGACATTTGAAAACTCCCTTAAGTAAGGACCCCTTGTCCCCTGAACCCTAATTTCTTTCAAGAATCCCTGGGAACACTCAAGGAGGATCCCATTTCCCCAGCGTGCTGCAGAGCCTTTATAAGCCAGGAGGACCGGGAATCTCAGCTCAAGGGATACCATGGGGCCTGGAGAAGTAGGGGTGATTGACCAGCTCTCCCTGCCCCCCTCTTCCACTCAGAGGGGAGGTGTCTCCGGGCTAAGTGATCAGCACTCATCTCTCCTCTCTCACAGGGGCCAAGGAAGCCTTTCGAGGGACGCTTACCAAATGAAGGCCTGGGAGCCCCGCATCCTCATGTTAGCTGCCTTCTCCTCCCATAAGCAGCACCCTGCTCATAAATAAAGGTGAGCTGTCCCCTCCCCCTTCTGCAGGGGGGAGGGGTGTCACTTAGGTGCCAGAAAGCTGACACCCCCAGCTCCTCCCCCCCAGGGTAAGATGAACAAAAGAAACAGGCTAAGAGAACAAAATAAGAAGAGTGGGGGCTGGGGTGGAGAGCTGAGAGACCCAGCGCTCACCTAGCCAGGGAAGCCCTGGCTTCCAACTCTAGTAAAGAGGGAGGGACAGGAGGCTAGGTGGCTGAGGCTTATAGTCCCAACTACTCAGGAGGCTGAGATCTGAGGATCGCCATTCAGAACCAACCTGGACAGGAAAGTCCATTAGATTCTTCTCTCCAATTAACAAACATCTAAAAAGCAGAAGTGGATCTGTGGCTCAAAGGGGCAGAGCGCCAGCCTGGAGTAGAAAAGCTCAAGGGCTGGGAAGGTGGCTCAGTGGTAGAGCGCTTGCCTTGCATGCTTGAGGCCCTGGGTTCAAAACCTCAGCACCACATAAGCAGAAAAAGCCAGAAGTGGCGCTGTGGCTCAAAAGGTAAAGCACTAGCCTTGAGCTGAAGAGCTGAGGGACAGCGCCCAGGCCCAGAGTTCAGGCCCCACGACCGACCAAAAAGAAAAAAGAAAAGCTCAAGGATAGTGCCCAGGGCCTGAGTTCAAACTCCAGAATTGACTAAAGGAAAAGAGAGAGAGAGAGAGAGAGAGAGAGAGAGAGAGAGAGAGAGAGAGAGAGAAAGCAGGAAGAGGAGGGAGGAGAGGAAGAGGGGAAGAGGGAGGAGAAAAGGGCCAGAAGAGGTTGGTTCTAGTGATTCCCTTCAGTGGAGGCAAGGAGGCCAGGCATTCACCGCAGCAGGAAAAGGTGAAGTAGATGTTCAGGGTGAAGAGAAGCTGAGGGCTGGGAATGTGGCTTAGGGGCTTAGTGGCTTCATGCTTGCCCTGCAGGCACGAAGTCCTGGGTCTGATTCCTCAGGACCACATACACAGAAAAAGCTGGAAGTGGTGTTGTGACTCAAGGGGTAGAGTGCTAGCCTTGAGCAAAAGGAGCTCAGGGACAGAGCCCAGGCCCTGAGTTCAAGCTCCAGGACTGGCAAAAAAGGAAAAAGAAAAGCTGAGAGGAGCTGGGGTGGGACTGGAGAAACCCATGCCCCCCTCCTATGGAGGTAGCAGGTTTCTGAGTCTAATTTGCGTTTCTCCGTGTGCATTGGGACCAGCGTGAGAAAGTCTCAGAAGGGAAAGTAAAGAAGCAGAAAGACCAGCTGAGCATCTGGTGTCTCTCCCTCACCAGGGCCCTCCCTCCATCCCCCCCCCTCCCCGCCCCGCACCCCAGCCTGTGGTTGGAGTCTGGGCTCCATGCCCACCTACCTGCTTCCTCCAGCCCCCGAGAGGCCAGGCTGTTGGCATGGAACAGGCCGCTAGTAGCTCATGCCTATAATCCCAGCTACTCAGGAGATGGAGATCTGGAGGATCAAATTCAAGCCAGTCTGGGCAGTAAAAAGTCTGAAAGACTCTATCTCCAAAATAACCAGCAAAAAATAGGATTATTGATGTGGCTCAAGCGGTCTAGCTCCAACTAAGCAAGTACAAAGTCCTGAGTTCAAACATTAGGACCACCATATGTGTCTTTCCCCCTCTCATGAGTTATTTCTTTTCTTTTGTAGGTTGTGGGGCTTGAACTCAGGGCCTGGGTCTTGCCCTTCAGCTCTTTTGCTCAAGGCTAGTCCTCCACCACTTTGAGCCATTGTTTGTTTCACTTCTTGTGGTTAATTGGAGATGAGAGTTGTGGGCTTTCCTGCCCAGGTTGGGTTTGAACTGTGATCCTCAGATCTCGGCCTCCTGAGTAGCTAGTAGCTAGAGGTTTGAATCACTAGTGTCTGGCTGCTTCTCTTTTTTAATACACCTATTAAACACCTATTAAATAACACATATTCCGGTGTCTCACCACCACCTTCTTTCCTCCTTCCACTCACGCTGGTTCCCCATACCTAGCAGTCCCCCTTTTACAATAATGTCATTTATTATTGTTGATGATGTTATTTCAGGTCTAGAATTTGCTAGGTTGCTTAACTTTTTGTTTTATGTTATTTTTGTGCCATTCCTGGGGCTTGAACTCAGATGTAGGCGCTGTCCCTGAGCTTTTGCGCTCAAGGATAGCACTCTACTACTTGAGCCACAGCACCATTTCTGGCTTTTGGGTGGTTCATTGGAGATAGAGTCTCACGGATTTTCCTGCTCAGGCTGGCTTTGCACTGTGATCCTCAGATCTCGGCCTCCTGAGGAGCTAGGATTACCGGGGTGAGCTGCTGATGCCAGCCTCTGCTTCCCTTTTTAACACTCCCTCTATTGCTGTGCTTTTTCTTTACTCTTAGATGGCCCTGGGTTCGCTTGGGGCAACCTGGGCACACAGGGAGCTGGAACCTGTCCCCGGTGGTGTGGTAAGGCGGAAGCTGTTTGTCCCCAGGGTCTGTTCACACACAGATGGAGGCCCTCATTGCCCCAAACAAAAGCAAACAAGAGAGGGTCCAGCTGGTTAAACATCACAAGGACCCTCCAGGCAAGCAGGAGGAGGCCGGGAGGCCTGGCCTAGTATACATCCCGTGGATCCCAGGGGAGCGACAAGGCCAGGCAAACACATTCAGCACACAACTCACCCCAAAGAGCCTGCAAAGACTTCCAGGCTCCTGCTGCAACCTTGGTTTCAACAAACAAACAAGCCAAGCATGGGTAGCTTACACCTGTAATCCTGGCTACTCAGGAGGCTAAGATCTGAGGATTGCAGTTCAAAACCAGCCCAAGCAGGAAAATCCATTTGACTCTGATCTACAATTAGCTACCCAAAAAGCTGGAAGTGAAGCCAGGGTTCAAGGGATAGAGCACCAACCTTGAGCAAAAAAGCTCAGGGAAAGCACCCAGGCCCTGAGTTTAAGGATTGGCACATACACCACCCCTCTCCCCTCCAAAAAAACAATTAACTCTAATTGAGAAACTTGCCAGACTTTTTTTAGTTTAGTTTTGTTTTTACTGGTACTGGGGTTTGAACTCAGAGCCTTATACTGTTGCTTAGCTTTTTTTTTTTTTTTTGGTCAGTTGTGGAGCTTGAAGTCAGGGCCTGGGCGCTGTCCCTGAGCTTTTTTGCTCAATGCTAGCACTCTACCACTTTGAGCCACAGTTCCCCTTCTGGTTTCCTGGTGGCTAATTGGAGATAAGAGTCTCATGGTGTTAGCAAAATGAGCTCCCTCCCCATAGCTTAGTCCGTTCCTTCCCCTCTCCACAGCTTAGCATGCTCCCTTCCTAGGCAGCACTAGGCCCATGTAGTAAAGGCAGTAAATAATCAGCCTCCAGCGCCCTTTCCCTTGGGATGGCACTTCTCTGGGGCAGCTACCACCATACAAGGCAGCAAGAGCCCCTTAGAGTGACCAGCTCTGGGCAGCTGCAGGACCCCTTATCTACTATTTGGACAGCAACCGTAAATCCTAGTCCGCCATGATGAAGCCACGGGCCCTCACGTACACACCAGGGTCTCCGCCTCCTAGCCCCTTCTAGCCCCTCCTAAACCTCCTAGGTTATATAGGTCACCCCAGACAAGAGCCGGGGCTTCTCACTTCTCCCTTGTGAAAAGGAGTCTTGCCGGCCCCTTTCCCGTCAATAGGCCTTTCTTTGTTCTCTGTACCTGGATGTCTGCATGGTTCTCTGGCAAAGTCTAATTAATCTTTCACATGGACTTTCCTGCTTTGAACTGCGATCCTTAGATCTCAGCCTCCTGAGTAGCTAGGATTACAGGCGTGAAACACTAGTGTCTGGCTTTTGCTTAGCTTTTTCACTCAAGTTCTCTACTAGCATTGAATAAAAACAAGTAGTAGAGCCACTTCCACTTCTGATTTGTCTTTCTTTCTACTTAATGGGAGATGAGAGTCTCATAGGCTTTTGTGCCTGGGCTTTCCCAGATGTTTGAATTTGCTCATCTCTGAGTTTCACATCAATATTGCCATTTTGCTTTTTCTCTTTTTTGCTATTTTTTAATGACAGTTGAACCAAGCAATGGCTGATTGCCAGACTTGCTGAATCTCTAACCAATTAGTGAGTGCCTTCCTGGCCTGGGCAGCAGGAAATGAATAGTCCATCCCTGTGACAGGAAACATGATTTTATTCCAGTTTCAGTTGTGATGACTGAATCCATTCTAGGGAGAAAATTGTGTGTCTTAAACCATCCTTGCCCTCTAGGAGCAAAGCCTGTTTTTCGGCTACTAAGAAATGTCATTAGCTGGGCCCTGGTGGCTCATGTCTATAATTCTAGCTACTCAGGAGGCTGAGAGCTGAGAATCGAGGTTCAAAGCCAGCCCAGGCAGGAAAGTGAGACTTTTTTTTTCTTTTTTTGGGTCCAGTCGTGGGGCCTGAACTATGGGCCTGGGTGCTGTCCCTAAGCTCTTCAGCTCAAGGCTAGCGCTCCACCACTTGAGCCACAGTGCCACTTCTGGCTTTTTTTTCGTTTTGCTTATGTGGTGCTGAGGAATCGAACCCACGGCCTCATGCATGCAAGGCAAGCGCTCTGCCACTGAGCCACCTTCCCAGCCCCGAAAGTGAGACTCTTATCTTCAATTAACCACCAGAAAACCCGAAGTGGCACTGTGGCTCAAGTGATAGAGCACTCTCCTTGAGCTGAAGAGCTGAGGGACAGTGCCCAGATTCACAGTTCAAACACCACAACTGACAAAAAAGAAAGAAAGAAAGAAATGTCATTAAACCAGAGCTCCTCTGAGTAAGACAGAGTGCTCACTAGTGACATTGAAATTCTCCCCTGGGATTCATCCTCTGGGCACATGGATAGAATTCAAGTTCTGGAACATGAGTGAGGGAAAATTCCCTCTCTGTTTTCAGTAGCTTCTCATTAAATGTGAACATTTGCTTGCACTATGAACATAGTCCACAAGTCACAGCATGACTGTGGACTCTGTCCCCAAGAGAAAACCACA